CTGCGCGGCCAGCCCGCCTGCGTCGTGCTCCTCAGCTCCATGCCTCCCGAGACACACCTGCGCGGCTTGCCCGCCGGCGTCGTGCTCCTCGGCCCTATGCTACCCGAGCCACACCTGTGCGGCCAGCTCGCCTGCGTCGTGCTCCTCGGCTTCATGCCCCCGAGACACGCCTGCACGGCCAGCCCGCTTGCGTCGTGCTCCTCGGCTCCATACCCCCCGAGACCGCGCCTGCGCGGCCAGCCTGTATGAAAGCTAAAGCCATGCCTCGGACTCCCGTTACAACGACTGACGCATAGCTTCTTTCCGGGGGGGAATATGATGAGGATAGTAATTATGATAAGACTCGACTGACGTCAGCCGACTCCTCACGCCTCGATCGGCGCGACAGCACCCGGTCAAACGAATCGGAACACCGATCGAGGCGCATTAACGCCTACTCAGGCTCGGTTCTTCACGCCACGCCAATGCCCATGTCAGACGCTACCAGCCTGCCCCTTGCAGGGGGGCACATCAAACAACAGTAAGCTTCCCTTTGAATATCCTCGCATTCTAAACGAGAAGGGGAGAACGAAAGAGACACACCAAACAACTTCTTTATCTGAATCCCCCCTTCATGTCAACTAACTTGATCGTCGGAGGGGTCGGGCTGAGCACCCCGACCTGACCTTTGTGCAGGAGCGAAGCCGAAGGTCCCCGCGGGATGTGTAGACGAGGAGTCCTTGCTCGGAGGAGTCAACGACCCCGTATCGACCATCGCGCTCGACCACCTCGGCGGGCTCGAGGAACGCCCCGAAGAGATCCCTGCCGTCCGGACCCAAACCGAGCCGCGTCGACCCCGAGGCCACGGCTCAAGTATGGCCAAAAAATTTCTCTTTAAACTCTCAAAAAGGAACAATAATTCTTAAAGATTAATCCTTGCTTTGTAGCATTTCAACTGTAGACGTATGCCTGGGCATAATATTTAGTTTGCACCGTATAATATTGATATTTTTGACCATCGATCTGTATTATAAAAATAGCTTTCTAGTACGAGAAATTTTATGAGAATAATTAACTAAGATGTCCTCCAAATTGTTGACATATTTGCAGGTTGTCCGAAATATTCCTCAAAATAATGCTTGTGTGACATGATTGCATATCATACATCTAATCATATATTTAAGATTAATTATAAATTATTTTTTATAATTATTTATATCCATACTTTCAAAAGTTACATTATAATTCTTATACGAAAGTTAAAAAAAATATAAATAATTAAAAATTAAGAGAAAAAAATATTTTATTAGGGTTAAATATTTTATTTTTATGAGTCTAAGAATCTTAATTTAATTTCTGAAAGTATAAAAATTAAGATATTAAGAATAATCAATTAAAAAATAATATGTAATTAGTCCATATATTTGTGTATATTATTCTTAGTGAAAGTTAGTGAAATTACTTTATTCACCACTATAAATAAGAGCCCGACCGACCCAACCCCAACTCCGCAAACCACAATCGGGGTTCGTTCCCATGTCCACCCCCGGTCCCGCGCAGGCGGCGCCGGCATCTCCCTACCGGCCGTACCGCCTCTCGCGCACGCTGACCGACCACAGGCGCGCCGTCTCGTGCGTTAAGTTCTCCAACGATGGCCTCTATCTGGCTTCGGCGTCGCTCGACAAGACCGTCATCGTGTGGGCCTCCGACACATTCGGTACCGTCGCGACCTTCTCCGGCCACTCCGAGGGCATCTCCGACCTCGCCTGGTCCTCCGATTCCCACTACGTTTGCTCCGCCTCTGACGACCGCACCCTCCGCGTCTGGGACGTCCACCAACCCTCCAATGGCTGCGTCCGTACCTTCCGCGGCCACATCTCCTTCGTCTTCTGCGCCGACTTCAACCCTCCTTCGGACCGCATCGCGTCCGGTTCCTTCGACCAGACTGTGCGGATCTGGGACGTCAAGAGCGGCAAGTGCATCAAGACGATCGAGGCGCACGACGAGCCCGTGACCTCCGTTCACTTCATCAGGGACGGCTCCATCATCGTGTCGGCCAGCCACGATGGGTCTTGCAAGATCTGGGACGCCGATTCCGGGGCGTGCCTGAAGGTGCTCATCGATGACAAGACCCCCGCTGTGTCCTTCTCCAAGTTCTCCCCTAATGGCAAGTTCATCCTAATTGCCACCCTTGATGACACCCTGGTATGTCATCAATCCCTTTCATTTTGTTTTAGTGTTAGTAATGTGGTTGACATTCAAATTTATGCTTCTTGATGCAAATTATTTTGAAAGAATATAATGGTAAATTTCTATGCCTGAACGATTATGTTTGGCTATACTTGAAATTTAGGGTTTAATGTTTTTAATACCAAATTTATTGCTATTTACAATAAATTGGGATTGGGCACCATTGTATTTGATCAGAGAAATCAATTGTTAATGTTTTTACTCCACAGCATTTGATGCTTCACAAAAACTTGAAGACTGATGATTAGATTCTTGTATTGATGACCATGGAGTGTGGTTGTTATTATCTTAGGTTTAGGAAGGGAGAGACACTAAAACTGGAAAAAAAAAAAGAAGGAAAAATAAGGGAAAAAGTAGAATCAGGATGTTGGGACGATAATAGATTTCTGTGAAGCTATGTTTTTCTAGTTCTACTACAATGTATTCTCCCTACTTTTAGAAGCGTATTTATTTGTTAAATTCTATATCTATGAAGTACTTGCGAAACAAGATTTATCTGTCTGAATCTCATGAAGCAGAAAATATATTACCTATAGATGATTGTTCTTGATAGAAAAGTTTTTGTTGTTCTTTTCAACCTAAAAGATAACTTTTTTATTTTTATAAAATTAACCAGATAATATAATTTGAGGCTTATTTATCACTCCATATCTATCTATCTATTTGAAAATGTCTAAGAAATAGATGAAACTAGGAGGTTTTTTAGGTGTGTTGAAGAAATGAAATAAATAGGTGAAACAAGAACTGAGTTCTTAGGTTTTCTTAAGAACTTGAAGTGATGAAGTGCTACATCTATGGCTCCCTTGATTGAAGTTGCATTCTTGGACTACTAAAGTGCTTAGTAGTTGGTGTTCCTTTATTTGCAGATCGACTGCACCTAGAAGCAAGAAAATTCCATATTCCAGAATGTGTTCAAATTAAGAATTCAACCAGCCGTGGTTGTGAACTTGATGACTATAATAGTCTTTTTTGTGTGAGAAATATAAATTACAACTGGATGCCTTTTAGTTGTTCTCATTGTAACAATTTTGGGTATTCTGAGGATAATTGCAGGATTAATCTCATATACGCAATAGTGAGAAGTTAAGAGGACCATGCAATGGACTAGGTCAGTATGTAGGATTCAGTGGATTCAATGCTGGTTAACTAGAACTGCAAGTATCAGGTTAGATAAAGGTAATAGGAACATCAAGACATTAGATGAGTAGGGAATAGTTTCTGTAGACTGCTGATGGTACTTTGACGTAACTAGTTTCAATGATAATATGTCCTACTTAGAGCTTAACAGGAGGATAAAGATCCATGTAGCCAATCCCAACTATTTGGGACAATATGACTTGTTATTTATTGTACTGGGCTAAGAATAAATGTACTTGGTTATGTAGAAATGGTAGTAGGGAATAAATGTACCGATCATATTTGTTAGTAAAAATTGGCATTTATCTAGCTTAAACAACATATAGCAATTTTGATTCATAACATTGTTGGTGGTCCCTATTTCAATTAACCTATTGTAGGCTAGGCAAAAGAACCTATATAGAATTTATACTAAAGTGTAATATAGTACACCTTGACTCTAATACCAAATTTGATTTGGAACATCTTGATTCGAATATTAAATCTGATATAGGACGAGTTTTTGACAAGTAGAGGGAGTTCTTTTTTTTAATAGAATAGAAGGGGAAAAGGAAAAGAAAAGGAAGATGGAATACAGAAAGATAATAGAGAAAATGATCAATTGCTTAAGGAGTAGCTCCTAATGATGAAGGTCTGACATCTCATGTCTCACGTATGAACAATGAAATCGTATACCATTGAAAAAGGGTATGTGGCCTCACACATACATAATGTGAGGAAAAAATATTCATTCATTCATTCATGTTTCAAGTACAAATCCTTTCCCCTTCTTATATGCTTCCCAAATGAACAATCTTAAAAGGAAAATATAGAAATAAGGAAAGAATTCGATCACACCAAGTCAAAACAATCACTTGTTCTTCCTTCCCCAAAGCAGATAATATTTCAAATTTGATTTGGAGTTGATGATTTTTCCTGATTGATTGGTTCCAATCATTGTAGAATGAGATAGAATCTTCAATTAAATTAAAATTTAATTTCGTCAAATTTTCCTTCATTTTCTTCCTTTTTTTTCTCCTTGAGAAATTTAGGAAACTTAAATAGAAATATTAGAGATGTTTGCAAAATACCACATAAATTATAAAAAAAATTTGAAAGGTAAATACATTAAAATGACCCCTTATTGATGGGGAATAAAAAAATGGTTTTATCATATGGACTACAGTGATATGCCAAAGCTTGATGCACATGGGGCTATTGCATAAAATGTTGTAGAAACAATAAGGTAAATTTTCTTGACCCTATCAATAAGTTACACTTGTGGAAAGAGGTCAAGTGACAGGAAGGTTTAGTAGATGAAACAGTGGTTATCAATGTGGCTCTTGTCAATTCTTGCTTAGTTACTGGTGAGCTATGAGATTTGACCTTGTTGCAGTATCTCCACAAGGTTGCTGAAGAAGATAGCAGTTAGATTTTGAATCCTTGAATATGGGCTGAAACGTTACACTTTATTTGTACAATTTGTTGGATTCCTGCACATAGCAAGACAGTGACTTTGGTGCTAGTAGCCCAGTGCATGTTCTTGTGATTTAGCATGATACAGAACCTGGTCAATACTTGATTGATGCTTTCAGCAATAATTTCTTTGGGAAAGTTGAATAGAGCTGCCTATGTTCTCTCACTTTTCCATATATGATGCTTGTGAACAAATCATGTTTATGACACTCGCCAATATGTGGTTGCTGGAGAGAGAATGGCATACATTCTACTCATATGTAACCTCTCATTCTGGAAGGTTTATTCATCAACTGTGACAACCATCATTTTTATTCATTATCTGTTATCACCATCTTTTAACTATCTTGTTACTTTTATACTTATTTTAAAGAAATTATGATTAGTTCTGCAGATTTTTTTTTTGTTCATTGCAATTTCTTTTCAAGTATATTAATATAAGATAGGGAGCAATTGGGCAAGGTTGTTAGACTAATATCAAAAGTGAATAAATATAAGCACCACAAACTTTATAATGATCTCTATACACCTCAGAATTCTTGTTAGCCAAACTGGAGATCCATCACAAGCCTGGAGATATATATATATATATATATATATATATTATTGCCATTGTCCATGTGCATCTGAGTGGCTTTACCATGTAGTGTACCTATGGTGAAGTGGCTCCTTTTTTTATCTTGCCTAAAATCACAAAATAATTTATCTCGACTTCTTTTGCAAGTTCCTCATCATTTCTCTCTCTCTGTGTTGTGGATTCATTCATAAGATTGATGTTTGTATGCTGTGATAAATATGCTTAAATTCTTAACAAGTAGGTCTTTCTGTATGATAACATGCTTGATCTGATTTTTACAAGATTATATCTCTTGTTTGTGTCATCTAAATGAATCTCTTTCCACCATTCTGCAGAAGCTATGTAATTATTCCACAGGGAAGTTCTTGAAGATTTACACTGGTCATGTTAACAGAAGATACTGCATTACATCTGCATTTTCTGTTACAAATGGCAAATATATAGTTAGTGGCTCGGAAGATAAGTGTGCCTATATTTGGGACCTCCAAAGCAAACAGATGATTCAAAAACTGGAAGGCCATACCGACACTGTCATTTCAGTATCCTGTCATCCCACACGCAACATAATTGCATCTGCTGGACTTGATAATGATAAGACAGTGAGGATTTGGATTCAAGAAACTGCATGAAGTTCAAAACAGTTGTATAAATCGGATAAGATTCCATCTAGTTTCATTTTCGAGGACTTTGGTTTGTGTACAATGTTGTAGTTAACTAGTTGCTAGTTGAACTGGCATCATGATTGCTTCCGATCATTTGTATACTGCCTGTACGAGATCTTTGATTACATGCATCAATGGTTATAGCATTTGGTTTTGGAGTCGCAGCTGTCATCGAAGAGTCTTTCACTTAAGTGTATCATCATAGAATACTTGTTCGTATGGAGCTGGAAAGTATGTTCAGATACACACCTAGTCATAAGCAGGATGTTTGCAGAGTTATCAGGCATTTCTTGTGTGGATGGCAAAATGGTGAATCTTCATTGCAGGATCAAGCAGAATTATTTAGTGGATTAATCTGTAAACTGAAGACTTCTGGACTTAATAGCAGCGTCCTCTGGTTGCATCTTTCAATACATGGACTATATGTTTCGGAGATGTGCATTTAATAGATCATATTGCAGTTCACCTACAGAATATACCAAGTCCTGGTAAGAATCTACTTTGCGCACTTAATATTACCATTAGTTTACCACTTGACATGGTGTTTAGATAGGCCTGCAACAGTTTTGCTGAGACATTATTAAGCATTATATTATAGCACTTATTGTAGCTTATTTGATCACTTCAACTGAGAGGATAGAGTAGTTTTCATGATTGAAGAGTGGACCTATTTATTGGATCCACACTTATAGTTTGTTAATTAGCAACTTGCAGGAACAAGAATGTTGTGTCTTATTATATTTCCAGCCTCACCTTAGTTTTATGCAGATTTACCATAATTGTGTGTGCTCGAATTTTTTCATGTATGCTCGAGCATGTTATTTGTATACAAATATGATAGTCATGTTATATAAGTTTAAATGCAAAAGACAGGGCCTAAAAGTTATAGCTGGATCCAGCAAGGGGGACTAGATCTGGATTCCCTTAACATGCTCAAAACAAAGAAGAAAGGGAGCCCACACTTGTCACGGGCGTGTCCTATGGAGAGACACCCCAATCTCAAGCCAAGGATTTTGCATGATGAAATAGATGGAAAGTGAGACAAGAGGACAGCCCATTTAGACACCTTTCTTCTTCCCTTTCGCTTGAAGGAAAAGAAACCTCTTGATGTCTTCATCAGATGCACCGATTCCTATTGATTGGTTCGTGTCTGAGGAATGAAACGAGAGGCAAATAGGGGCTGTTGCACAGAAGCTGAAAGCTCAGTTGTGCCTTGTCCCCCACACCCTCAGTTGAAGCTTCAGTTCATGTCTTTTTTGGCAGCGGGCCAACACACCAACAGTGGCTTCTTTGGGTTGGACGTGTCCTGTGAAAGCTACCACACAAGAAAATGTCGCCCTTTCATATCAGAATGCCATCATGGCCATATCTTGACAGTGGCAACACAGGGTTGGTGAGTCTTCAGAATTTGTTCGTGCTCTGTAATCTCATCATCTGTCTGTTTCTTTTGGCTTTGGATTAAGTTCATCTCAAGGGCATGTATGTGGCTCTACAGAGCCCAACCATGGTTTCACTCTTAACAATGGTGCCATTTTGGCTCCCTACCTCTGTCCATAATTGTTATTTGTGATTTTAACTAATACAAAGAAAATGGCAGTCCAATTTTATCCACTTCAACAAGAGTTTAGTCGCATATAATAATAATAATACTTGCAAGTTTATTATTAGGAATCAAATGCTTGCAAGTTTATTATTAGGAATTAAAGCTAATGACAGAACTTGATTAAAGTATTAAAGCTTAAAGATTAAGAGTTTGTTTCAGACATTTTCAAGTACCGGAGGTGGGAGTCGGCCTCTCCAAAATAAAGGTTTGGGGCTACTGCCATTGTGCCCTTTTGCAGCTGGTCTTCCTTCTCATTATGGGCGCCACTACTCGTGCTGAGGACTGCGGGTAGTGCGGTGGCATTTCAGCGGTCGGAGTAAGGCAAGATTCCTCCTTTGCCTTCTTCTCTTAACGGAGTCCGTCTTCCCCCCTCCCCTCCCCCCTTTCTTGTTCTCCTTTGCTCTTCTAGTTGGGATTTGAATCGTCTGCTAGCTTCTCTGGAGCCTTGAAGTAGAGAAGGGAAGGGTGCGTTTCCTCGGAATCTTGAAGAGTGCTGATTGGATTCTGTGGTGGAGAGGCCGCCCTTGTCCGTGGATTCGCTTCGAAATCCTCTGCTTTGTACCCTAAAAAGGGAGGTTTGTTGAGGGGAACTCGTGACAGCGACACGCCGGGACGGCGTTTGTGATAAGTCCTTCGGAGATCTTGGCCGGATCGTGGGGACGAGGCTCCTCATTGCGCCGTCGGAAGTGGCCTTGGAGGATCAGCATGAGGGATTTCCCTTCTTGTTTCGGCGAGAGCGGAATTCAGGTTTCGGACTCCTCGTCCGGCGGCGCCGTTAAGAACGCGCACAATCTGGTGACTTACTTCTACCGGGCGCGACGCGGCGGCCGTTCTTGCGTCGTCGCCGTTACGTGGAGCAAGACCCTGATGGGTCAAGGGTTGACTGTCGGGATCGACGATGGCGATGGCCAGTGTCTCTGTAAGGTGGACATCAAGCCGTGGCTTTTTTCCAAGAGGAAAGGGTCTAAGAGCTTGGAGGTGGAGAGTAGCAAGGTGGACATCGTCTGGGACTTGTCTGCTGCCAAGTTTGGGCCGGGGCCTGAGCCTTTGCAAGGTTACTATGTTGCGGTTGTCTTTGATCTACAGATGGTCCTCTTGCTCGGTGATCTGGCCAAGGAGGCCTACCGTAAGACTGCCGCAGTCCCTTCCACTTCCAATATGGCCTTCGTAGCCAAGCGGGAACATATATCTGGGAAGAACCTCTACTGTACCAAGGCTCAGTTCTGCGACAATGGGAAATCTCATGATGTTGTAATCGAGTGTGACACAGTTGGGCTTAAAGATCCATGCCTTGAGATACATATCGACAAGAAGCGGGTAATGCAAGTGAAGCGACTCGCTTGGAAGTTTCGTGGAAACCAGACAATCCTGATTGATGGACTCCCTGTAGAGGTGTTTTGGGATGTTCACAGCTGGCTCTTTGGTGTACCTGGTGGAAATGCTGTCTTCATGTTTCAAAGTTGCCCCTCAGCTGAGAAGCTGTTGCCGTGGTTTCAGGGTTTCAAGCAGTCACAATTGCAAGGTGTTGGCTTTTCATTGATATTACACGCTTGGAAAAATGAATAGGTTAAGGCAAGAGGATACTTTTTACTTCCTTGCCTTTTCCTTGGTGTGCTAACAAAATTTAGCATATTATTTGTCTTTAACGACGCCAGTGAGCCTCCCATTTACTTCCTTTTCGTTTGCTATTTCTCCTGTTTGAGTAGTTGGGAAGATTCTGACATATATATGTTTCTTCTCTCTTGTGAGTTCGTGCATTATTTGGATCAGGTTTTAATGTTGTACTTTTTGTGTGGATAAGATATGTTCCCTGTTAAACTCATTCAAGAAATGGGGACTCAGAATTCCTTTTCTTGCTGAAACTGAGGTGATGGGCTTGCATGTCACTCGATGAAAGATTTTTATGAATGACCCACCTTATTGACACATCTTATTGAATTATGAACGATCGTTTCTTTAGTAAGTCTTAGTTATTTTTATCATTTTTATGTAAAGTATGTTTTTTTCATGTACATTCAGTAATTTGAGAAACAGAATTCACATTGATACTAATACTGAGTATATGAGTATGGAAATGACTGTTGATTAGACGATTGTTGGGTTCTTGTCTGGATAACAGCTAAAGAAATATTTGTCTTCATTTTTTTGGACTCTGAAAGGATGCTCCCCGGTTCTTTGATAATGCTTCACACAGACACGCCCTTCACTGGGCTTAATATTTATTATGTTTTAAAATTGGTAAAAAATAATGAGATATATGCATCACTTAATATGTACAATACCTATTGAGGTAGTAACGGGGAGATTGTATTGCACCATTGGAATCAAGATGTGAGATCATCCAAACTGCTGGACTTTTTTGGATGCTTTTGTGTTGTCAGCAGGTTGATACGTTGGGCATATCTTCTTCATTCTATGAGCATAAACATTTGGGATGACATCTCTGGAGAATGCTTCTAGGTGATGGCCCTTCCATGAATGATCAAACCAGTTGACGATTTTCAAACAGGTCACACGCACTTTCTTTTGTTTATAGCCAAATTATCAATGTCTTTGACAGATTACTGATAATGTCACTGCAACAACAGCAATTGTTTTAAGTTATTTTATTCCATTTATTATAAATAGTACATAGGAGTCATGTACTGGTGATGATTAACTTGCTTGTTTGTTTTGCAGAAACGAACAGCAGGTTGAAGCTGTCCTGATGTCATAGTTGGACAGGTATTATGCCTGTTTTTCCCAAGAGAGGTAATTGATGTGCTTTAGATAGCTACTACAAATTTCCCTTTTGCAGTCAGATTATATTTTAGTGGGTTCTGGGAATTAGCATGTCGTTTTCATATTATGTCTCATGTTGGAAGCCTACAGATTCTGGGTGTTTATACTTTTATCATTTTATACACCATAACAGCATCTGATTTAGTATCTCTGATCACCCCATTAGAAGCATACAGATTGTTAGTGAATATACTTTTATCAGTTTATGCACTTTAACAAACATTTTTATTTAGTGTCTGAAGCAGTTTCCTGATGTTCAGCAACTTTTGACAAGAGCTGTGCCGGTGATGTAATTCCAGCCTAGGTCAAACAAACACTCAGGCTTTTGTTGCTTGAATTGTCATTTTTCCAGACGATTTAAGATTTTTTCTTCCGTTATACCAAAAATCTGCTAACAAAGTCTTTCTTTTTCTTTTTAATGCATATGCTTCCAGTTTTTTGAAGAGGTAAAAGTTGTTATACAGCACATTCGTGGACATATATTGGGAGATTTTGAGTACAGCACCATTAAAAAGTGTTGTACTTATTCTTATTATGTTACTCTCCCCAAAAATTTACTGCATGATCCTTTTCTAACTGCCAAAGGGACAACGTTGTTTTGTGATTCGCCTGAAGGTATGCTTCAAATGTATGACCTTTTTCTAGCTTGAGTGTTTTTTCTAGCAGGTCATACCCTAAAGCAAATGATTTTTCCAAGGAACATGGATCAGAGTGCATTTCCAATTATAATTAAAGCTGAATCTATAGCGTCATCAAGGACTGACACCGTATCAAAAAT